TCGGAACAATATTTAATAATTTATTTTTGAGTTATAGGCCGTATGTTAAATAAAACATTAAATGTTTTTCTGTTTTATTTACTTTTTAGTTTTATTTTGGTCCGGTCGACCGGACAAATCTAATAGTTCCTGAAGATGCCTTCAGACTGAAGGCGAAATATCGACCAAAATAAAACTAAAAAGTAAATAAAACAGGAAACCATTTAATGTTTTATTTAACATACGGCCTATAGCTCAAAAATAAATTATTAAATTATACTAAACGGCCAATAAGCAACACAATCATGAACAATATTAATATTTAAAATTGCTGGATTTGTATAACTTTTGTCCTCAAAAAGTAGAAAAATAAAAGATAACCAGTCAATGGAAAAAAACGTACACACAAATCGTATGGAAAGGCGCTTTTTTATATTAAATAACCTTTGCTGCATTGTCATAATATTGATCCAAATGAACTACTGATACACTAGAATAGAGTGGCTGCATGGTTAAATTAGGCATTCGCTTATATTATCGATATTTATGTGTTTTAATCTATTTAGAAAATAATTTAAAGTCTTATAGGAAATTGCCTTATTTTACGGTTTTTACTTTTTTAAAGTTACAATATATGTCCAAGCTGTGTGGAGCTGCCGATACAAACATATAAGCCTGTAAATATACATTTTCTACATTTAATTTGAAATAGTATGCACCAACGGATTAAAGGTAGTAAATAATTAGTACCTTTTCTAGTACTTTAAAATGCGTGACCGGAATAGACCTGCCGAAAAAGTGAGGTTAAGTTACTGACAACACCTTGTTATTATTACACCATGCGTGCAATGCTTTTTGGTTCATTCTTTTCTTGCTTTTTCATCAAAACCCCACAAACGCCCACCCCTTGAAATTGAAAATAAAAGCAAGACGAAAAATATAAAAATGTTCGGGTTGTAAGGAGAGCATATTTGACAGTCGCTGTCAAGCGTTTTCGATGTGACAGTACAGCATAATTTTTCTAAAGCGCATTTTCATTCGCCGACTTCGTGATTAAGGCACACACACGGGCACACATACATTAAACATCGCTGAATATTCAACATATGCAGTAAAATATTTCATTTTAGATATGTTTGAAGAAGATTTGGTTATGCTTACGATACCGAAATGCAAGCGGCTTTAAAGCTTTGGTAAAATGTAGGTGCTTTGAGAGCAAAGGTACTCCAAGAATTAAAGAATGAAACCTAGGGTCAAACGGCCAGGGTGGTATGAGTTCTCGAAAAGGACCAAACTGCAAATCTGAATTCAATGAAGAAGTTATTTTATCGATGCAAAGTTTGACACTCTCCCTGCTCTTATGGGAACCCATTTATAGTAATCGTTGTCCCTCGACATGCGATATAGGTACAGTGAGAGCCACAGTTTCTAACTACAAAAAGATTTATCTTCCCAGAACCGTGAGGAACTTTTTATTCAGAATTTTTAGAAAATGTTTTGGTATGCAGTTTTGTAGCCTATTAAATTTAAAGTGCAAGTTTCAATTGGCTACAAAATACAATTGATTTTTAGTAATTTTTTTTTTGCTGACGGTGTCACGCATTTTTTTGCCCAATACAAAGTATGCTCGACAATTTTATTATACAACAACAAAAATTGTCAAAAATCAACGGTATTTTCTAGCCACTTGAAACTTGCACTTTATTATACTAAAATTGTGCTACAAAAAAAATTTCTAAAAATTCTGAATAAAAAGTTGAAATAAAAATTTATCGAATTTTTATACTTTTTGTATAAATTTTTAAAAGAGCATTTATATAGTGTTTGTTGTATAGCTAGCCAGGCTTTTATAAAAAAAAATATCAAATATAAAATAAACCATGGAGTAATAGCCAAAACTCTTCAAAGTAAGGCAACCCTATTATTTCTGTCGCCAGTGTACATACTTTGTGGCTTGTTTTTTTTACTTTTTACTTTGACACTAAGCTATCTACATATGTATATTTTTTACTCTGCTTCACTAATCACATATTAAATAAGATTTCGACCTCAACCAACCTTCGCCCTCTTCCGACAGGGATTCGAAGCTTTCCGTCAATAGCCCTGAAAAAATCACTGCACTCGGCAGAGGTTACAAAAGCTTTTAAACGTGGCTGCCTAGCGGAAAATTTTCAGGGCATTGAACTCGTCACTGAAATCAACGTGATTCTTCGTTCTTTTTTAACCGACTTCCAAAAAAGGAGGAGGTTATCAGTTCGTCGGAATATTTTTTTTTTTTTTATGTATGTTACCGCATAACTTTGAACCACGTCAACCGATTTCGATAATTCTTTTTGCATCGGAAAGGTAGTGTCTCAGAGGTGTTCCCATATTAATCTGGTTGAGATCCGATCAGTGAATCATGAGATATATATATATATATATATATATATTTTTATATGGGAGTTGAAGTCGGTTTTTTTTGCTAAAAATTACTTGTTTTACATAAAATTTTAACGAGATATACGTCATGCGAGGATATCTTTAACCAAAATTTCAAACTTAAGAACATGAGTCATAATACAATTTTCTTAAGAAAAGAATGGTGATTCTCATTGTACGTTCAAACAGTTTTCACACACAAACAATCAAATTAATATTCCCTAATTTTGGTCACCCTAACGTCGTAGCAGTACACAGAGAAAAAAACACCTAATAAAATGGAACAAAACGAATAACATATCTCTACTGTTTTTTGTCAAGAAGATATTCCTCTTGCTTCCAGAGGGCAAATCTATATAATAAAAAGCAAAAAGAAACCTTTCGGTTTTTATAAGGTTGTCTAATTAAATGCTTAAAATAGATATTTAAACAAAATTCCACGCCGACCTCTCCTCGATCCCGTGACCTTCTGAATGGCAGCTCCACATACCCAGCTACGGTGAATTTCATATAAATTTAAGAAGACATAACATGAAAGTATGTACACGCAAAGGATTTCACAAAAATGTATTGAAATATTACCATTTTTCAAAAGTATAGCACTTTGTGCCAAATTGAAAAGTTAAGTGCCATTTGAAGTAAAAGAGGGCCAAAAATTGCATGGCTTGAGCCAAGTTGGCAGCCCTGATTACATGGGCTTGTTAAACATTCCTAGTACGCACTCGCAGCGAGAGCGTTCCCACGACAGTCGGGTCTACGCAACCGGAACGACCCAGATTTATATCTGGCCCAGGACTGTCACTCCAGCAACACTCCCCTTTGGGGAACTTGTATGCTGCTACAACACCAACAGAGCATAAACACAAAATTTAGATAAGAAAAAATAAAAATAAATCAATATATACATATAAGAAACAAGGTCCGTTCCACAGGATTTGAACCCATGACCAAAACTTGGAAAACATGGACAAATAAAATCGTCAATTATTTAATAATACTAAACATAAATATTAAACCGAAATGTGACTAACTACCACACGCATTCATCATCGACCTGATACGCAGTATTACTTTGGACAGCAGCTAATTAAGTCGCAGCATTAGAACGCAGGCCACTCAATTAAGTTAAAACACTGCACCAACTTTTTAAGTGTTAGCAGTAAAAGATTGATCAGTTTGATGGCACCACCACCACCACCGCATGGACCACCATCGCCAGGTCCTCCACGTCGACCATTAATTAAGGTGGAACTCATTCCACCATGGCGTCGACGAAACAAACCACCACCATCACCCACCGCCACCACCACCCAATCAACCAGTCGTGGTAGTTGTGCCACCAGCACAACCTCCGCCACCACCATATGGAAGTGGTTACTACCCACCACCACCAGGACCGCCACCGCCGGGACACTATCACAATCCACCGCATTATTAAAGATGTGATAAGGATATGAGGATCAGTTCTGAATTTAGTGTTTAAGTGGGTTTATTTTCCAGGAAATTAAGTGTGATTCATCTTTTTCAGGTGTTTAGTGACTTCTATTTAGGTCATAAATTTTCAATAAATTTAAGGCACATTTTTTTTATCTGATAATTGTTCATTGCTGTTTTCGCTAACAAAAATAAATTATTTCGTATGATATCAGTGTTATCGGTGGTAGCGTTGTCTATTTTCATAAAACCATTGGAATATTTTAATACCCAGCGCACTACAGGCCGGCGGAAAAATAAAAAAGATATTTTTTAAATTACCTTCACAGCAAATTAGGTTTGTTTTCGTCTGCAGGTACGGAAACAAGACTTCTGGGCCTAAAAACGAAGACGTGGAGGGCACGTCCTACTGCGACTTGAAATTTCATTTCTCCTTATTAAACCCATTGGAGCCTCTGATCTCATGCTCTGGAAAGTACTGGACATTTACAGAGAAGATGTGCCATCCTCCACATTTTGTTTGCAGAATCTACAAAACGGTATTCCGAGCCGTTCTGCCTGTTCACTTTTAAGGTAAAGGCTTGTTAGAGCAACGATGGTTTTCTTAACGAATACAAATTTTGAGACATTACTAAATCTCACGAATATAACGGTTGGCCTAGATCTTCAACAGCTCGTGCTTTGCATCCACCTTTCATTTGATAGATCATAGCTTGAACCAATGTGTTCTCATGGAACAATCTGCTTGGTCGTGCCCTCCTTGCAAGTTTTCCATCACACAGAGATGACTAAATTTAATTCAAAATTCTAATTGTCACTGAAAATAATAAACATCGGTATCGGTTCCGAGTTTAAGTTATATATATATATATATATATATATATAACTTAAACTCTATATATCTATCTAAAACGAATACAGAGCTATGGAAAAATTCTCATAGAGTTGAGTTATGGGAAGGCTTTTTTTTACCAATTTCACCTACGATAGGAACTCGCCATACAAATCGACTAAGCCTTAAATTATATTGGTGGATCTCCGCCGACAACGAGATATTGTAATAAAATGAGCTGATTTTATCCGGCGATGGGACAAACTTCATTGTCGTTTGTTATGTTTTTCTCTAAAAAATTTTCGTACTGAGGACAACTACATATGTATAACAAGGCTGTTTTTTAAAACTTCACCTCTCGGCAGACATTATCAAATCTTCGGGTGTATTTCGCTTCGTAAATTGCAGGCGAACCTTGGCTTTAAATACATTTATTGTTGGATATAGAACAATGCGACGTTAAGATCTATTGGAAAACCAGTGGGCAGACTTGATTTATTGTATGTCTTTGAATCCGAGAGAAAAATTTTCGTTATAAGTCTTATATATATTCTATATGGTCGATCTTTCCAGCAGCGGTTTCTGAGAGCTTGATACGTTTGTTTGGCCAGAGTACAGAGTGCCTGCTTTGCTATGCCACAGAAGGTCTCCGTGCTGAAGCTCCTTTCTTTGTCTTTTTTACTTGACTTGATTTCCTTTGAAACCAATGTGTTCCACAAGCCAGAGAGCCCAAACTTGATTGGTCTGATGCAAGCATCTTAAGGCACTACATTACCAATTCAGATGTTAGCTGATGAAATCTACGGACACTGGCGGTCAGTCCAATTAGCCAGTGAGCCGTAAGTGTGCCTACTTTGCTATCATAGACCTTCGTACAGAAGCTTCAAAACGCTTTTCCCATGGAGTATTTTTTCGTCGTGACTGATATCGTCACTAGACACGAATAAAGACGCGAGCTCAAAAGTTGACCGCGAAAAAAGACGTATCAAAAAACTTCAGCGAAGCAAATTTTTTATCTAAACCAATTTGTGTTTCATTTAAACTTGATCCCCTTTTACTGGCGCACAGTGTTGTACCATAAACAACTTCAAACAAAAATATTCATACAAATTCAATATTGATTTTCAATTTGTTTTGTTTTGGCAAAAGCGAAATTTCGTTATCTTTATTATTTCCTATCACTAAATCCAAAGCAGTCTTATCAGCAAAAACAAAAGGTTTTAGTGTAGTCTACATACAGTTATTCGTCTCTTTTATCACGTGTAAAGCCACAAAGCGCAATTGCATATCTTATCAGCGCACAAGCTGACTCATAAGCAATTCGGCAACCTGATGGCCATATCTGCATTTCATACACACGCATTCCTCCAACCAACATTAGTAGTGGTGCATGATTAAGACACCTTACTCTAAGGCTTACAAACTACTTTGGGGTATATGTAAATAATTACTTTGCTGTGCGCGCAGTTTCAACGCAACGCTTCGAGCAGACACATTCGGGCAATTTGTAAATTCAGCGGTTTACTCTGTGCGCCCAAAAGCCTTTAAAAGGCGTTAATTTTGATTTCTTTGTTTTAAGTTTTTGTGCAATAATTGTGAATTATTTATTTTTAGTAATAGAAAATATGTTGTGTGTGTAGGTATATATTTATCTGAAATAGTAAAATTTTACGAAATAAAAATTCAACTAGTTTTATTTATAAGGAATTTCTGATAAAATACAAGTAAGTACGCACAGTTTGCTCAAATATTGGTCTAACTGCCCACTCGTATTTTGTTTTGTGGCTTACGTCTTAATGAAACAATAAAGTAAGGAAATGAGAAATATATCCTATATTTTTTCCAGTGAGAACTAATCCAGAACAAATCTCACCATAAAGTCGCGAGAAATACTAAAACAGTTATTTTAAAATAATTTTTTGTTAGTTTTTTTCCCTGCCGCAATAAAAGTTTATGTGATTTTGGCCGAATTTAACATACGTTGTTTGCTGACTTGCTGACTATTAGATACACCAAGGAAAGTCAAACCCACCTCCAATGGAAAGTGGGCCCTCACCTTCGTCCGCTATCATCAGCGGGTAAAGCATCGCTTAATTTCAGCGGCTGGAATATTCATTAAGTAGGCGTCTCCGGTGCTTGTCGTCTTAAACGTGAAAGTACAATTGTTCACTCTTAGGCTGCATTATCGGGTCGAGAAAAGTTTGCTACTATGTTGCTTACTCAATCCAAAGTAGCAGTGCAATTCCTGCGATTCCCGTCGGATTTCGAAGCAGATATTTTGTACCTAAGTAGGCAATATAGGACTTTTTCGAAATTATAACTGTCGGAGGCGACATGGATGCCTAGAAATGCTTGCACTTGCTGCTTTTTCGTTGAAAGGGAATGCTTCCTTCTGCCTTCATTCACCACCGTAACGAAGTTGTTGGTATCCAATTCCGACAAGACAAAATAAACAGCGCATAGTGGTCTGAGAGTGGCCTAATTTCGAAATGTGTGGAAATATCCAACTAAGTGGTTGACTCGATTCTAAACGTGTGTACTAACAGGTTTTAAGGATTTTTTCCAGAGAAAAACTACCATAGCAATTATCAAAGGACTCAGAAAGTCGGGAAATACTTCCCATTTTAATAAAATCCAGGTACCTTACAACCTGAATTTCACTGAAATCGGATAACATTTCCCATTCCCGCCCACTTGTCCGGAGAGAGAGAGGGGCGTGACTGGTCGCCAATCCACACAATTTGTTACAAATCTCGGTGTTTCAATGCAAAAATATATCTTGCAAGAAAGTTTTGCAATTTTGGAGTAATGCTTCTAGTCCTTGCCACATTATGTAGAATCCAGAATTCGTATGGCTGTTGGGCGTGGAAGTTGCCCGATATTTCCCATATTTCAGATTTATATCTTCCTACATTAGTCTAAGCTACAAACGAAATTTCATTGAAATCGGATCAACTTTACCACATCCGGCCCTCTAGTGTAGTGGGCGTGGCAGTCCGCTAAATTCAACCATCTTTGATATTTATTCATTCCTAGGCAAAAGCACTTCACGTTACAATGTTCAACAAAATCGGAGCACATTTGCTACTTTTTGCTACATTTTATATAGAGCTCTTCCACTGTGCGGTGCATACCTACAAATGTATGTACGTTTTCCAAAAAAAAATAAAAAAGTTGAGCTGTGCGGTTCGGTTCTGCAGTCCTTATCACCTTCTTTTATATTGAATTAAAGCAATTACTAAATAGTAACTCACCTTGACCGAAATATTGTTTTATGTCAAACGGCTCGAAGAGATCCTTCACTGACGGTTTATTTGAATTATTATTTCGCGGGAACATACATATGTACATACATCTCCCGGTCTCAAGCGGCTGAGTAATCGGCAAATATTTGGTGTTTCTTGATCCTTTCTAGGGGTTCTTTTCCAAGATTTGGAGTACCGTGAAGACTTGTTTTATAGTGGAAATTTCAATCGGCAGGTATGCTTTAATCGGAACAGAATGGGAGTAAATTTACAAAGTTGCTAGTACTGTCTATAGTTTTTTTTTAAGATTTTCGACGTCAAGCTTTCCCTTTTCTCAATTAGAAGTATATTTTTGGTCAGAAAGTTCTGCCCTTTGACTTAGCAAGCAAAGCTACCGCTGCACTTATTGGAACCATTGCCAATTGTTAAAACCATAGGTGCATAAATGGTAAGGAGTATTGAGCCATGGGCACATGTACATATATTACTTTGGTAGCGAACTAAATCGCTTGGTTCGCGTGCAAGAGACACCCGATCACACGGATATTGAATTACTGACAAGACCACTTTCCGCTACCCTTTGATAGACGGGCACTTAGTTAGCTCGACGAGCGCTAAGCGAGAGCCCTTGGTAAATAGTTCTGAGACTTTGAACTCAAAACTCAGTAAATAAAACCCTTGAATTCTACTTAACATTTATATACCATGCAGAAAACGCATTTTTACCCGATTGTTTAGGTCAAGGGTATTTATAGTTATGCCATGGTAAACAATTTGTTTTTGTCGGTTTAGATAAAAGAGACTCACCAAAGCTTAAATTGAAATTAGCACGATCAAATAGCATTCAAACAAACACAAATAGCAAATAATTAAGTGATCTACAGTAGGGTGATCCTTGAAAGTCTATACATAAAATTATACACAATT